CTCTCTCTCTCTCTCTCTCTCTCTCTCTCTCTCTCTCTCTCTCTCTCTCTCACTGCAGAGCTGCAGGGGCAGCAGAGGCAGGGAGAAGAGAAGAGAGAGCTCCAACTCTCGATCAGTGAGACAGACAGACAGACAGGCAGGCAGACAAGGCAGGGCGGACTGACTGACTCCCAGACGCACTGGCTGGACCATCAGCATGGACCGGATCAGGACAGAGAAGCCCGTGTCCGGATGAGACAGGACGGCCTGGCTGCTCCTGCTCATTGTGGGGACTCTGCTGTAGAGACGTGGAATAACCGACAGCCCTTTGGGAGATTTAACCCCGCGCTACCCGGCATGGATTATTTACACTCCTCTCATTCCCCGATTCTTCTCCTCTTCTCTCCCTCCTCCTTTCCCTCCTCCATCACCTCCACCTCCTCTCCATCCTCTCACATTTTGACACGCTGCTGCTGAAGATGCGCACGAATGCGTCTTTTGCGCACTTCCACTGACAGCGGCGCATCGTAACATTTTTTTGAAACCTTCTTCTTCTTCTTCTTCTTCTTCTTCATTTTTCCCCTCCTTTCTTTTGTTTGTTTGCTGCCTTTTTTTGTGTGTGGATTTTCTGGAGGAGAGGTGGAGAGGAGTCGCCGGAGGAAAAGGAGCGCAAAGGTGTGAATTGGATCGAACGCGGCGGTGCTGGTTTCATGTTTCTCGCCTAGGGCCCGGATGTACCGAGGGATGCACCGGTGCGTTCTCCCAACCGGTTCCGCCGAAAGCTCCCTCTTTTTTCTCGCCTTCACCTCCATCATGGGAATTAGGTAATATTCACTCCATGCGAAGAGACCCTCCCCATTAAAAAAATAAATTAAAATAAATAACGGAATATCCCCCCCAAAAAACACTGTCCGTGTCAGACAGTTGTTCCTTCTGCCCCCCATCTCTTGTTTGAATTCTTTATTTTTGGGGGGGCTCCCCCCCCCTCTTATTTTCCTTCGTCCTCCCATTCACCTATAAGGATAACGCCGGACTACATTTATGGTAAATGAAAGCAAAAACATGTACATCCCGGAGGACACCCTTGAGAACCATCAAGGTATGTGCTGTTTATTTATCATTATTTATTTATAATTAACAAACACTAGAGTCTGTGCGGGGG